AGTGCCTCCGCACGCCATTCGTGCAGGCGTGCGAGGACTACCGCCTCCAGATCCCATGGCGGCAATCCGGCAAGGAGGCTCGCCGCCTCGCGGGAGATCGTGCGGTAGCCGCGAACCATTTTCACGGCGACCACCCTTTGGGGCGCGTTCAGGTGGTGGACGGCAAGCCGCGCCAAACCACGCGCCCACACCGGGGCCCCGTAAAGGGCCATGGATCGCACGATCCCCGCGTAGAGCCTCCGGCAGGAGGCGTTTGGCCCCCCCAGGTTCGGCAGGAGCCGCCTGAAGGCAGCCCCGGTCCGTTCCAGTTTGGGAGCCAAACGTCGAAAGTGCTCAACGAAGTTCCATCGGCCGTCGAGGACGAGTCCTAGGTACATCAGCGTCGACTCGACGCCGATGGATACCCCTCTTACCATCACTGAGGATCCTGGTGGTGGCCTGTTCCGAGGACCATGGAAGTGCATGGCCTCGGACTTGTGCAGAGCCACCTCGAGACCCAGTTGCCGAATCCTCTCAACGACTATCGCAACCCCGCGTGTCATAGTTTCCGCCGCCGCCTCGTACGACCCCCCTTGTGCCAGTACCAGCGTGTCGTCAGCGTAGCAAACTACGCTCCCCCCTCCAGTCGGGGCCCGAGAGCCTCCGAGGCCAGGACCCAGGCTTTGCCAGGCAAGCTATCGGGTCCTGGGGCGGTATTCCTGGCCTTGAGCCTACGTACCGCCACTCTCAGGTCTACCCCGGTCCCTTCCGGGATGTCGTCGTCGTCGTCCTGGTGGTCCGCTTCCGGCACCGCAGGTGGCGGAGCCATAGGCGGGGGCGGATGTTCCCCTCGCGTAGGGAACAGAGCGCTCACCACGTCCTCCACGAGCTGGGGCCGGAGACTTTGCGCCAGCGGGGGCGCCCAGGTGCGGAGTTTATCCCGCACCATCTTGTAGGGGCGCCCCCCACGGATCTCTGTTGAGAGTCTCCAGCATCTCCTCACGGGCCCAATCCCGGGCCCGCAGGACAGCCTCCCGGAGGGTGGTCTTCGCCGCTCTGTATCCCTCGTACAGCTCTGCCTCAATGACTGCCGCATTCGGTGGACGAATGCGGAGCCTGCGATGCCTGGCGTACAGGTGCCGCCGGCGACACACGCCTCGCGCAGAGACGTCAGCTCACGCGACCACCAATACACCTGACGCCGGGCGCTTCCTGGCCGGACGCGGGGCATTGCCACGTCACATATCTCGGACATGGCCTCCTGGAACCACCCTGCCTCATCATTGACGTCGGCAGGCCTGTCCGGTGATGACACCCAGGCCTGCACGATCGAGGCTTCCAGGAGGAGCTCCCGGTCCAGCTGCTTCAGCGCCCAACGCGGACCACTCGGGACCTGTTGGACTGGCGCGCTTGAGGGCTGGGTGGAGACATCAAACCGGATGTACCGGTGGTCGGAGTAGGTCTCCACCCCCTCCATGACACGCCAGTCAATGGCACGCGGCGACAGAGCGGGGCTAGCGAACGAGATGTCCACCACCGACTCGCCCCGCATCCGCACACACGTGGGGACAGAACCCCGATTTAGGACGACCAGGCCTGTCTCCAGAGCCCAGTCTTCCACCATCCTACCCCGCACATCTGTACGACGAGAACCCCAAGCCAAGTTCTTGGCATTGAAGTCCCCGAGGACAAGTACGGGGAGGGGATAACTTCTGACGACGACTGCTCTCAGCTCTGCAAGAGAGTTGTGGAGCTCGGCGAGAGATCGGTTCGGGGAGAAGTACACCCCCCACAACGACGAACTCCTCGAACCGTGCTGCTACGCACCCCTGACCCCTCCTGACACCTTCAAGGGTCGGGGTACCGGCGGCGGCCGAAGAGATGATGGCCACTGAGCCGTTAAGGTCCGCCACCCAGTCCTCCCTAGGCCAGACAAAATACGGCTCAGCGACCACAGCGATGTAAATCGACCACTGCGCCATACTCTGGAGCAACAGATCCTGAGCGCAGGCGCAGTGGTTGATATTCGCCTGGGGGAAGCTTAATGGGGCCGTTATAGGCATTCCATTTCAGCTTCCTCCACGGGGGGCCCCTCTGCGGGCGTCGGTGTCGCGGCGATGGCGGCGGCGACAGTGACAGCGGTGGCAGTGGCAGTCGCGGCTGCGGCGGAGGCCACAGAGGCGGTGGCGGCTTTGGCCCCTACCCTACCCGCGGCCTTGGCCTTGGCGGGAGGCACGCAGGCCTTGCTTCCGGCCCGGTGATCGGCTGGCTTGCCGGTCGCCGCACATGCATCACAGTGCGGCGTGGCGCAGCAGGTCGCCGAAATGTGTCCGGGCTGACAGCAGCGGAAGCAAAGGCCACTGCGGTCAACCTCCGAGGCGCATCTCACTGATACGTGGTGCACCACGAGACAGCGATAGCACCTCAGAGGTCTGGGCTCCAGCAGCTTAACCTGCGCTGAGACCCAGCCCACCAGAAGCCTTCGACCCTCCACTATGGTTTTGGCCGCCGTAACAGGGCAGCGCACCGTGGCGGCATGCATACCCTGTTGGTCCGGGCGTATGGCGCCAGACCTGACCAGGTCAACCCCCGGACCCCCCCGGACCTGGCAACGGCGGCCACCAACAACTAATCTATCCCTGTATTGTAACTGTTTTGCAATTTTCGTTCTTCTTATGGTATTTATTTCCGCCGAAAGATGTGTTAAAAATAGTGTTGAAATTCGGAATTTTCGACGCTTATAACTTTTATACATATATCTTTTTTTACTATTTTGTTTCCATACAGGGCTAGATAATTATGAGACAAATTGAAATCATTTTTTATTTTGTACGTACATCATTAAACAGTGGAGTAATCGCCAGACTACGTTTGTATGGAAGAATAAGCGACTAGTGTACCCTGACGCGCTTGCACATAAATAGGAGTTAATCTTGCTTTAGGACATTTTTTTAAGTTCACGTGAGTCTTCCTTAATATTTGTGCAATGTCTTCCACAATACTTAATGCTTTTAAAACTTCCGTAGTCATTGTACACCACGATTATATTTACCAAAACTAAGTTGTTTTTCAATAACTCGGCCGCCGTATTTCTAATTGAATGCAGTCTTTGTTCTCGCGGCAACGTCGTCGAGCGATCTCCGATCGCTTCTATTCGGCTCGAAAATGGACCATATGATGCTATAGTTAAGGTTCACTATTATATTTACTTGAAATTGACAGAAAGAGGCGTGTGTTCTGTAGTAACGATTTATTCTGACTGATTTTATAAAGTTAACAATTAGCCTTTAAATACGCTAAGCTTGGATAGGAATGATATAAGTGTTATGTATGTGTTTGTGAGCATTTGTTATTTGTACGTTTATAATGCATTGATGTATGTTTGATTTATGTGAATATTTGTGTATAGTATAATTATGTCCGTATGTATTGTTACGCGCTCCAATGCTTCAAATCGGCGCACTAGCGCCATCTAGTCTCGAACCGAAGAACTAAACTTCTTGAAGTTTAAAACTCGAACTCTCGGTACGGTAGTGTTAATTTAGGTAATTTTATCGGCAATTTTTATTGTCACGAACCTCAAGCTCGTAACGGTATATAAACGTACGTTCAAGTAAATAAACCTAACATAACCTAACAACTTATTAGTCAGAAAACACCAGGTTTTTTATTTCATCTTTAAAGGCGTTAAATTTGGATAACAAGTCATTGTCCCCTCTCCTCTTAACGCGTATGCAGACAAAGTTTGGTGAAGTCTTCTCTATAATTTCACTTAAATTTGATTCTGACAAGAACTTGTCCAGACATTCAGCCATTTTAAATAACTGTTGTAATATTTATGCTAGTCAAAACCCAGTCAAATACCAGAGTATTATAGATAAGTTAGCAAGATAGTATTTTAAAATAGTTACAGGTTTATGTTAAAGGTTTAAATTGAGTTGCATGTAGCAAGGAGAAATTTTGAGGTGCTATAAAATATTGCAATCTGTAGTATATGCTAGCCTGATATCAATCTAATCAGTGCAGCAGAGAGAGGTCTTATTAAATTGGTGGTAATCAAGGATTTCATATAACATTTTGTTCGTCCACTCATCAATGGCATCTACCATTGATGAGTGGACGAACAAAACAGAATGGGATATCCATGTCGTGAATATGCTCCTTCTTACTAATGCACTAGTTATTCGTTTAAAATAAGAAAATACTACCGATTCATACGAAAATAACGCAAACAAATAAAAAAAATTGGAGAAAATGTAGCAAAAACGAGTGACAGTACACAATATACGGCTTAATTCTGCAGTATATTGTGTAAAATAATAATGTCCTCCACACCGGATTTCGTTCACAGCAGCTAGTCTGAAGGGAGACGAAGGGAGAAGTCCACGATGCGATGGAAACCCGACACGCCCAGAAAAAGACCAGGTGCAGGACCAAAGGCTTTTCATGCTTTTCAAAGCTTGGGTCTCAAACACCACCAACTTCCATTAATCTTAATCCAGGTTTCTTCTGAGAACTACTTGGCAAAAAAAAATTAGTAACTGACTTTAACATTTGAACATTGACATTGAAACTTGTAGCCAAATGATCTGCATTGCTGCGCCCTCCTTTCTGCCAAGGAGGGTCGCGTCCGTATACGGCTTAGAGATCTCTAGTTAGACTGTTAAGCCAGTCCCTAAAAGGTGGGGTTTAGTGGGTAAAAGTCTCCACATAACCACGCAGCTGGCTGCGTGGTATGCTATGAGCATTCCCTACCTCCCTCCCCCGCTTTCCGGAGGGTTGCCCATATTTGCTTCGGGCGCAAAAAAAATGATCTGCATTGAAAGAGATGAAAAGTGTAAAATGTGTGAAATATAACACGTACTGAGAGAAATCAGAAACTTTATTTGTAATTATAAATTTATAAATATTCATTTAATAACACGTGTCATTCGTTTATACTATTTTTTGTAGTGCACAAGAATTTCGACCCGCACCGCTACCCGTCTATGGTGCTTTAAAAAGAATTAGAGAAGAATGTTTTATCCAAGTTTACTCTTCAATACGCCACGTATTTGTTCTACCCCTGGCTCATTTCCCTTTTTATAAAACTCCTGCTCTTTGCAACGCTCAAACCATGCAGTGAGCTGAGGGTATCTGGAAAAATATTTTGTATTAAAATTAAATTAATAGGTAATCTATAAATGTTGGATACGTTGTACATTAGAACTTTAAATTAGCGCTTAATCTTTGAGGTATCCCGGTTTAAAGTAACGACTGATTTAATTAAAAGTAGTTATCAATTAATGTTCATAAATCTCTTTCTAACTTACAATTTGGCGTCGATTGGAATTATCTCATTCAGAGTACTAATTGAAGAAACGCAACATATATCAGCTAATGTTAAGTCATTTCCAGCCATCCAGGTATTTATAAGAAATTTCTCAGAAAAATCGTATGCTGATTTAATTTTTTCTAAAGCCTCTGGTCTGATCGCCTTTTCACCCTTAAAAAGGACCGGTTCCTGTGAAATGAAAGTCTGGGTTAAAGACAATTTTAAAAAAGTAAGCTTGAAAAATAAGCACACTATCTACCGGTTGGTAAGTAAATTGAGACACATAAACTACTACACTTATCGTCAGTTAAGAATCAGATTTATACGATTTCCTAAAATGGAATTCCTAGTTACCATTAAAAGGTCCTCCGATTCTATTCATACATCATTCAAAAATCACGAGCATTTTTGGGTTGGATTTAGAATCGTTTGGCAGGAATTTGGGGGAGTAAGGTGTTTTATTTGGTAGAAGTTTGGTCCCCATTTATAATACTACCACTCACATTAAAAGATAATGCACCGTTATCTAAATAATAAATAAAATCTATAATAACCTAAAATGCGTAAAAAATGGAAAAACATGCAATATTACTGTGAAAGCTCGATAGCATACAGATTGTTTACAAGGCTTACAAGGTAAGGCTAGTGTCACATTATTTTACTGTCTATACCCTCTGTCAAGTGTCAAATTGCATGACACTAATTTTTATGCATTTCGCCGTTAGTTGCTCTTCTTGCGTGAATGTGTGCTCTCCAGTGTATTATTGAATGTGCTCCCTAACGTTTTTATCTGCCGATCCTCTTTTACAAAAGATAATAAGTATTTTGGTGTTTTAATGAGTGTAAGATCGAGCGAAGCGAGCTCGGGTTTTAGGGCATCCCGACTCGGACAGGTTAGGTTAAAAGGGGATGGCGGGGTCGAGTGAGCGAGCGAAGCGATCGAATAGACCCCACCATCCTCTTCGTGGTTATTTTTTTATAAACCACTCAGAAGTAGGAGCCACGCGAAGCGGAACTCCATCAACCGGCCTTCCCTCGACTGCGCTACGTGGTGCTTCCCTCCTCCAACTCTCTCTCTCCTACGGTATATAGTCAAAAGCATTACGAAAACATAACCTCAAAATGAGATTTTTAAAAAATTATAAAAAAAACTAAGTACGTCCGGCAGGAGGTGGAAATGGGGGGCTCCTACTCCGTAATAAAGATAACTTATCATTTTAAATTTAAGGTTAGTTCTATGAGATTTTCTTTTAATATGAGTGGTATTATTATAATCGAGGACCAAACCTCTACCGAATAAAACACCTTACTCCCCCAAATTCCTGTCAAACGATTCTAAATTTCAACGGCATTTTTTTTTATAAAAACAATAGTGCCGAACGACACATAGTCAACCTGCTGTGAATGCTATGGACCTAAAGATTATAAATCAAATCGCAGATTTATTGCTACACCTGAGGTCTAAGGTAAAATACCTCGTTACCAGTTAAAAGTGTCTCCGATTTTATACACTCACCAAAAGAAGTAATTGTCAGTCTTTTATGAAATCCTCAATTTCATTTATATAATGGCGGACATTATCATGAAATAACTACTCACCAATGCTCCGCGTAAGCTAGGGAATAGTATACCACTGTCGAAGTGCAGTCTTTGATCTATGACTGCCCTCTTCTTAGCATCCGTTGGGTATAAAGATTTATTGTTACTATGCAAAGTCAGTAAATAAACAGCTATTGCATGACTGGAAATATAAAAAATAGATAAATGTTTAAAACTTAAACAAGCCCAATGGTTAAAATAGTAATTAAAAAATACAACTGCCTATCAAAGTAGAATGATCACTTCCACAACTAAGACCAATCTAACGGCAACCTATATGTAAAAATCTTTAAGCCGCGTAAACCTACCGCATACCTGTATTCGTAACACACAAACATACACTCAAACATTGCTCGAAAAATAAAAAATAAATTCAACTCACTTTAAATTTTTATTTTTAGGATTGTCATAACAAAATATAAAACAAAAATTGATATGGTGTTTAACCTCTATATACCTAATATATATAATATAACCTCTAATAATTACTTTTGTTTTTAAAAACTAGTAATTAGTTTAAATTCATATTAATAGTATCACAATTTACCTGTCCCATATGGCAAAATCGTCATCTGTCAAGATCGGTATAGTGTGTTGCGGATTTAACTGAAAAAAAAAAATAAGACTGTTTTAAGAAATGTAAATGTACATGCCATTTTTATAACTTACAAAGCAGTTAGTAAATTTAGAGCTAAAAAAGCTAAGAAAGATCACGTTCTCATAGAACAACAGCTTGAGAACGCATTCGTGATACAATCATAATATAGCTACAGCGTGACCTTACATTAGATGGCCCTCGGCTTACATTAGTTAGTGATATGACCATCTATTATATCTATTATATAAATAATCTAATCTAAATATCTATTATAATAAAATTTTATAAACATACTTTCAGATACTCTTCTTTTAGATGGTCGCCTGCAAAAAAATTGACGTCCACAAATTTAACATCGGGAATATTTGCTGCGTGAATAACCATTAACACAGATCGTACTGGTGGACTTGCATCCAGTTTATATAGCGTCAACACCATGATTTCTGAAAACAAAAATATGTAAAATTAAAACATGTGGAGGTATATATATATATATATATATATATATATATATATATATATATATATATATATATATATATATATATATATATATATATCGAAGTGTTGATTTTGAATTTTTTCTTTAATACCTGATAAAACTTAGGTGAAAAACCCTTTTATGGAAAATGGAGGCCGTTTCATCAAATGTGTTATAAGCGAATGGAAACATATTTATTAGCTTTACTCATAAAATGTAGTTTTCTGTTGATGTTGATGTTCTTTCCATGATATTTGTCATATTTTATAGTTTAAATTATGTTATAAATGAATAAATCAAATTACAAATGGTAAAAAATCCTACAACAAAAAAAATAAAAAAGAGTTAAATAAGTAAAAAAAAAGAGACACTGAGGCTAAGTGTTTTTATATAATACTCTAGAAACCGATAAGATTTTATTTAATATACTACTTCTTAATTACATGATATTTTGTAACAAAAAACTTCACCTCCCAAATCATAATCATCACATTATCATCACATCATCATCATCATGTGTAACAAAAAACTTCACCTCCCAACAAGCGATATTTGATAAAGCGAAGATTATTAGCCCTCACTGGTGAGTGGCATAGTCAGTAGTGGTCTGTTTTGTTCTAGGGATAAAATAGATAACGGTTATACGAGTATTAAAGTGTTTCAAGTTTTCATACTGTGCATTTATAATTATATTACTTATCCTTTAAAATAGTTTTTCGCCGTTAAAAGATTGGTTTGGATGTTATAAGAAACATATCTAATCAATCAAAGTTAATGAGACCATGATTTATTGTATAGCTTGTGTTTGTGATAAGGATATAAATTACCAAGGTGGTATGAAAAGTTTCCGACCTCAACGCTAATAGACAGCACTCGTCAATAAAACTTATTGAATATATATATATTATATATATATATATATATATATATATATATATATATATATATCTGTAAATAATTCTTTGAAATTAGTATCTTTTGATAGTTACGCACCAAAATTTCAGCCATTTTGGACGCGTAGTTGTTATTTCAGAGTCGTTTGAGTGAGTCGATTTGAGTGTTTTTGTCAGAATAGAAAAAAATTGATATTATATATGTATCCAGCTGTCATTAAATTTTTCTTTTCGATTCTCTGTATGGGAACTCTGTACCAATATTTAACATAATGTAATTTAGGCCAGCTGAAGTTAAACGTGGCCATAAGAGCTTGATAGACGATGAACGTTCTGGGCGTCCAAAAACTGCAACTACTGACGATAACATCGCTAAAGTTTCCCAAATTGTGCTAGACAACTGCCGAACAAAAGCAGAGGCTATTAAAATGTCCACAATACGTGTTTGGCACATTTTAAATCAAGATTTAGGCACGAAAAAGCTGTTAGCTCATTGGCTGTCGCTTTTGCTCACTTTAGATCAAAAACGTGTTCGAATGAACATTTCCAACGCTCTCTTCAACTGGAAAAGTGATGACGACTGTTTTTTGGGGTATTCGTGGGGTTATATCAATCGGTAATCTTCAAAAAGGAAAAACCATTACAGGAGCATACTACGCATCATTACTTGACAAATTAAAGACAGAAATTGCGGAATAACAGTTACATTTGCAGAGAAAGTAAATCCTGTTTTACCATGACAATGCACCATCTCAAACCTCAGTTGTTTCCATGGCGAAAGTCCACGAATTACGGTTTGAACTGCTTAACGATCTACCTTACTCACGAGATCTAGCCCCAAGCGAATTCTTTTTGTTCCCTCGTTCAAAATTGCGCTCAGAGAACAGAGATTTTCATCAAATTAGGAGGCAATCACCTTCGTGAATAATTATTTTAAAAGAAAAACGGCGAGTACAATCTGGATGGGTTGGAGAGATGGGAGCATCGCTGGAAGAAGTGTGTAGAGTTACAAGGAGACTAAGTAGAAAAATAAAAATACATTTTGTGAAAAATGTCTTGCATTTTTGTTAAGTCGGGAAATTTTCAGACCAATACGTATATTTTAGCTTTCGAATATTAAATATTTATACGTGGTATTGCCATGCTTTATACGTGGCAGAGCCATGCTGCAATTATATTAGTAGTATAGTTGTAGCACGAATGGGTCGGCTCGACCGGGGAAGGACCACGCTCTCACAGAATACCAGCGTGAAATAGTAGCTTAACGATGCTGTGTTTTGTATGGTGAGTGTAGAGACCGGAGACCCTTTTTACTGGAAACGAGGCATTCCATCTTAGTCCTCACGGGTGACAACGTATCTGCATATTGATTCGTAATCGACGATAGATGTAGATGTCTATGGGCCGCAGCAACTACTTACCTCAGGTGAACTGTGTGCTCGTTTGTCACCCTATCCTATAAAAAATAGCTACTATTTGGTCTAATGGTATATAGGGTTCGAATCCTTATTCAGGTCAAATTCAGTTACTTATTTGTTTTTCCTGACAAAAAATTCTAGATAGCAGCTTGGGATCAAGAATTTGGTGTTACACTCCCATTACTCAAAAATTACGTTAGCCCATTGATCCTGCGCCTGATCTCCCTCAAATAGTAAAGGATTGTGCACCTGTGCAGCGCGTTGAAACTATTCACCGTGACCGAATTTCGGTCTCGAAAACAATATTATTATTAGTTGTTATTGAAGCTATGTTAAAGGAAACGCGTACCTCCATTGGCGCATACTATTATAGCTCCTTTGAAATTAGGTATTGGAAATTACCAATCGTATTTGGAAGTCTGAAAAAAGTCGATGGGTGTAAGTGGTTCAGAAAAGTGAGTTGGCATTCATTGGGGGACAGTGTTTAGAAGCGGACTTGTTACGGGCTGTAATAATGATGATGATGAACTATTTTTGGAAGATATGTCACCACAGCGGAATTCCCCAATGAAAAAAATAATTAAAAATAATCATAAAGTAATTCATTACATTAAGTACACTTCTGAACAAAGCTCCCCCATAAATAGTTGCAAAAGAGGATTATTTGCCACAGCCAACACGCTTGCGAGAAAGCCTTCATGTCTGATGATGAAATAATATGAAACGCCGGATTCACGCCAATCTCAACAGAGACTAGCCATTTGTATAGCACACCCTCTGTTCCTTTACTCTCATAGTACGATAGGTCGATAATACGTCTGGTCTAATACGTCAGGATAAAATCAAGCCGCGGAATCAACGGCTTTAAAAACTTTCTGAGAATTTCTTAACAGAAGAACACAATAACTGATTTTCGCCCGATCTAGGTTTCAAACCCGGGGCATAATAATCAGCAATAACGTTTCAACCACTAGACCACTTTCCAACTATTTGGAGATCGACAACTATTGCTCTTCCTCTAGGTATCTTTTATCATTACTGTGATTGCTTTGACGCAAAGAAGAGTCTACTGCGTTTTTCCATTGTATTTTGAAGGGCTTTACCAACATACTATCGAGATGTTTTAAATCTTTGGGACAAAAAATTTCCTTCTTCACTGCTAAGCATGTATTAAATCAGCACTTAACTTGGGGGATCTAAATTGAGTTATGTGTGTGTCATTACGAGGTATTCCATTTTAGTTTTTAAGGGCGATAACGAATATATATTTTGATTTTTATTCCAGTGTAGATATATATGGACTATATCATCCAATTGATATCTGTTTTGAATTGTTTGCTTGCTTGTCACCCTTTTAGCTATCACAGCCTAATTGCAAGTCTGTCAACTATTTATGTGTTATCTATATATGTCGTTTTGCATTAAAATACGAATGTTATCAGGAGGTGACAAACAACTCCGTAATCGATATGATTTCTCTACTTGTTAAATTTATAATTATATCGACTGATATATATGAAATATTAATAAACAGAAAATCATCATCGTCATCATCATTAAAGACAAATCCACTGCTGAATATAGGCCTCCCTCAAAGAATGCAACAAAACACGTTCTTGAGCTCCCGCCAACCATAGACTTCCTTCATGTTCTACCAGTTCGTCACTGTATCAAGTGGGGACTGCGCTACATTTCACGAAAAACGTTTCCTCACTATCAAATTCAAATTCAAATTTATTCATTGCCAGCATGTAGTACATAATATTATAATGATGTTATTTATTAATGAGACCTTACATTCTACCATTATAGTGGCGTGCAATATCTTTACAATATACAAAAAATATTATTAATTTTAATGAGGTTAAATTATTGAAGAAAAACAATGATAGATCTTTTAAAAATATATCAGCACCAAGTTTTTAAATTACAATAAATACATGTCAAAAATTTAATTAACGATGTAAATTTTTATATATAAATGTCTAATATCTAAAAAAATAAAATTAAAAAGTGTCAACGAAATTAAATAAATATTAAATGACAAACAAAAAAAATTAATCAGTTTTTCCATTATTACCATTATTTTAGATTTCTTTATAAGTCATAATATATTCGTTTACACTATAAAAACATTTTGTTGCCAGCCATTCTGTGAGTTTCCTTATAAAAATAACGAAAAGTAGGTCTTTGAAAGTGTTAAGCAACTTATTGTAAACTCTAATGGCATTTATAAATACATTTCTTTTATATATATCAAATCTGCATTGAGGCAGATATAGCAATAAAAATTTATTTCTTGGCATAGCACTTCTACTGACTAAACTTGAGTTAATGATAAAATGTTGTGGATGATTTTTGACAAAAACACAAAGTTCCCGTATGTACATACGGTAACTATGTGTTACAACAACAATAAAAGCTAGAGGCAGTATGTGAAATCTGTGAAATAAAGGTTTGCATCTATGTATAGACCAAGCTCCACAAATGGCCCTTACACACTTCTTTTGAACACGAAAGGTATTCTGAAGATCAGCGTGAAGCAAAGGCTTTCCTTCAGCGTTTACTGGTGAGTGCAGGTGGCCGGAGGCCCAATCACCTCCCACCCACCCATCAATATTTTGATGAGTGGAATTAAATGCAATACTACCTCAGGAGAGTACCAGCACACCTGGAGAATCCCTCGCTGAGCATCCACGACCAAGTTACTCCACTCCTGTGCGTGGGTGCTCAGGCTGCCCACGTATTCTAGGGGGGGGGGGGCAATTCCCCCGCCATTCGTGAATTTGTGACACAGGTGTCCTCTCCGGCTGATGCTTCGTATCTCACCTACCCAGGGTACAAATTATAACACTCAGAGACAAAACCTACCCGGCGTATATATTACAATACTCTTTTGTGCCCCGGGCTGAAGTTTGCGTGTACGTCAGAGAGGAAATTTGTTTTCGACGCCTCGGCAACCTTAAAGGTACGGACCTGTCAATCTTATGGCTGCGCGTAAACAATGACGACCTCCCCGCATCTACGGGTACCTCTATAGGTCCCATAGCGGTAATGCCGAGTAGACCGACTTATCGACCACGTCTAGATAGCTACAGACTCCGTGCTACAACAAATCCCATCCGCAGAGATCGTGATACTTGGAGATTTTAACGCCCACCACGCTGAATGTTGTTTGTTTAATATTTGTTTATGACTTTGCACTGGCATATGGTCTGACACAACTGATTACCTCGCCTACATGGATCCCAGATGTGGAAGATCATGTACCTTCCCTGTTGGACCTTCTGCTGACCTCTCATTCGGACGGATATCAGGTCTCCGTCGATGCCCCTCTTGGCTCCTCGGCCCATTGTCTGATCCGGAGTACGGTACCACTCACGCACTCATCGCGATTGCGTAAAGGGCTATAGCTCAGCAGACTGGGACGGGATGCGATCTTTTTTTGCATCCTACCCTTGGGGGTGGGTTTGCTTCTCGCCGGATGATCCCAGTGTTGATGCTGATTCTGTCGCTGATGTGGTGCTACAGGGAATGAAACTTTTTATTCCGTCATCTGTGGTACCTATCAGAGGCAGAACCCAGCCTTGGTTTGTTCGCTCCTGCAAAATTGCACTACCTCATAAGCAGGAGTGCTACCAGGCCTGGGCTGGATGTTCGGGATTCAAATACCGTAAAAAGAAGTACAATTCTGCCTCCAGGTCCTTCAAAAGTGTTATTGTCAAGGCAAAGCCAGAGCACATCGGTCTTCCTTCGGGAACACGTGCTTTCTGGTCTCTCGCCAAGGCTATCCAAGGGAACTTCTGTCAGCCATCTCTCCCAAATCTGCACACGGAGGACGACTCACTGGCCCATGCCGCAAAGGACAAAGCCGATAAGCTAGGCTCTCTCTTTGCGTCTAACTTGACTCTTGATGACATGGGAACACCGCCGACCATCCTGCGGAGTGAGTGCTCCATGCAGAATGTCCTGCTTACTCAACGCCCAGTGCGCAGAGCACTTCTCTCTATGGACGTTAACAAGTCAAGTGGGTCGGATGGCATCCCTCCTATTGTGCTGAAGACGTGTGCTCCGGAGTTGGCACCGGTTTTAATGCGTTTTTTTCGGTACTCCCACTCCTTCGGCGTAGTCCAGAAATCATGGAAGAAAGCCTTCGTGCACCCGATCTCTAAAAAAGACAATTGCTCCGATCCGTCCAACTATAGGCCCATCGCCATCACCTCCTTGTTCTCTAAAATAATGGAATCCATTATTAACAGCCAGCTTATGCGGTACCATGAAGATCACCAGCTGATTAGTGACCGCCAGTACGGTTTCCGTCGCGGTCGCTTAGCTGGTGATCTTTTGAGTTACCTAACTCATAAATGGTTGGAGCCAGTAGAGTCCATGGAGGAAGCATTGGCCGTTAGTTTGGACATAGCGAAGGCCTTCGATCAGGTTTTGCACGAAGCGCTTCTTACGAAGCTTCTTTCCTATAGGCTTTCCGAGATAAAGTGCAATGGTATTACCAGTTTTCTTGCTGATTGGAGCACCAAGGTCGTAGTAGACGGTGCATGCTCCGATTACAAGCTCTTTAATTCTGGTGTACAACAAGGCTGCGTGCTATCACCGACGCTGTTTCTTCTGCATATCAATGACATAAGTTGCAAACCGGTAACATTAATTGCTATGCAGACGACAGCACTTGTGATACTTTATACACCGGCCGTGACAATATTTCTCGGAAAAACGTCGCAGAGTAGACAAACGTGCGTCGACTGGGGAGACTAATTCTAGTCCGGTTTAATCCACAGAAGACACAAGTTTGCACGCTTACCGCTAAAAAAGACCCTTCGTCGTATCTCCTCAGTTTCAAGGCACTCCCCTTGTTGCCTCAGCCAGTATTGGAATCCTCGGCGTCGACATATCGACTGAAGTGCAGGTTCGTGGTCACTTGGAATAGAAGGCAAAATTGGCCTCTAAGCGTGGCGTGCTTAGCAGAGCGGAACTGTATTTCACGCCGGCACACCACCTGCAACTTTACAAGGTGTAGGTTCGGCCGCACATGGAATACTGTTATATCTCTGGGCCGGGGCTCCCCAGTGCCAGCTCCTTCCATTTAATCGCATCCAGCGCAGAGCTGTTCGAATCGTCAGCGACCGAGCTCTTTCGGCTTGACTTACTGGCACTGCGAAGAGATATTGCATCTCATTGCGTATTTTATAGCATCTACTGCAGGGAGTGCTCTTAGAAATTGTTCGGACTAATTCCAGCCGCACAATTTCACCATCGCACATCGCGACAAAACTCACGATATCATCCATACCATCTGGATGACTGTCGGTCCACTACTGTGCGATTTACAAGAAGTTTTCTACCTTACAAAACTTCCTTTTGGAATCGACTACCACCAGAGATTTTTACGAACAAATACGACTTAGGGACCTTCAAGAAAAGAACCTATTCCTTTTTAAAAGGCTGGCAACGCATCTGCAATTCCCCTGGTGTTGCAGTTGCTCATAGGCGGCGGTAATCATTTAACATTAGGTGACTCGTATGCTCGTTTGCCCCTCTCCTATTAAAAAAATCTATATACGAGTACTATATTGCCGGCCATTGCCACTTCAGCTGATTGATCCGTGTGCCGTTTACTTTTGTGCCACTGCGGATATCTTCATTTCAAAATCGATCACTTAGAGAAACTTCGAGCATTGCCCTTTCCATAGCTCGCTGAACGGGTATAAGCTTGCTCATAAGTCAGCAGTGTAGTATTTTATTTAAAATCCATATATCGATCCCGGCAGGAATAGACGTGAAGATGTGTTGTAATATCTCCTGAATGCTGCCCAGCCAAGTTAGATCCGTCAATTGACCTCTTGGTTGAAGTTGAAGTTACCTTCCTAGTGGACAATAGTCCAATTATGGAATTATTACATTTAAATTATAATTTAAATTTAGAATACAGATAATTTCCTTAATTTATTCATTCAGCCCACCATTACTTTCCTGCTGAAAATATTACGACACTCCAATAGACTGTCCCATAAGTAGGATATTTGCCATAGGTGCACTTTAGTATGTTTTTATCGAGAAGACACTTCCCATATTCTTTTTCAGTTTCCTTTAGCTACCTTTTACGGCACCCACGGGATAAGTTGCCGTAAATTTAGGCAATATTTATAAATAATTCTGGGATCAACTTCGGTTTTCGTCCATAATAATATTTCTAAATAGAAATTAGATTTATGTAATTAGAAAGCTAGTTCTTAATTTACAGTGACATTCTTTTGGTTTACGGTTTACCTCAACATGAGATTACGTTACCTGACTATTAATATACAAGGCGTGTCTATTACGCCTACTCAAAGTCAATATGTACAATGTAAAAAAGTACAATGAATATTATATAAGTGTTCAAAAATGACATTCATCTCACATTTTCTAAGGTGTGGATTGAACAACGTATAACTTTGAAAAATTTGTTTTCATTATAATTAAAAAAGAAATATCATCGATAATTAAACAATTTAAATTAAAGCAAGTAAATTCTTTCCATCGTAAATAAATGACTATAAATAAACTGAATATAAAAAAATTAATATTAGCCTTAATTTATAATTAAAGGATGTATAGTTTTGTGTAATCATGGCGTAGTTTTCTAATAAATAAATATATTTGCTAAAATTTGTAGGCATTGTTGTTTTGTAAAGGTTTTTTTTATTTTTAAATGAAAATCAAAACATATTTGAAAAATAAATAAAAATGATAAAATATTTATCTAATAAATATTTATTATAAAATATATTTGAAGCGCATTACAAATATTTATTATTTCTTTCTTTATGATTTGCTATTAAAGGCCTCAATTTTTTTCCAAGGACACTTTTTTTAAAAGTATTAGAAATGATTATAAATTCACTGACCTAACAAATTTTATTGAAATCATGTATTATATCACTTAATGAGTAATTTTTAGAAATATACCGTTTTATATTATGTATAGTTGAAAAAAATACATACCTCTCAATATTTATTCAACTCAAATACACGTTTAACTGATGACGACTCCACTGTATGTACTAATACTGCAAGTCACGAGTGTCCTTGTTAAAATAGGTTAGACACTAGATGAATAGACTGATTAATATTACAGAAGCGGCTCGTTATTGGCTTTATATTTAAAGATATAAATGTAATAATTAAAATGATATTCATGTTGATATGGGCAAACCCGTTGCTAACCACATGAAATAATATTACATTAGAATTAAAATAATGTGATAATAATACCTACTATATTATTTAGTAACATACTATTACTGTCAACATCATTATAATTTATATCCTTTTGAACCGCACTCCTAGAATAGAATTTAATATTTTATCAAGATATTTTTTATGAATTATTATTATTATAATAGTTTGCTGACGATACCTCTCTAATTTTCAAACTTAAGCGGCAGTCTATGAAGATGTAAATAAAGCTCTAACGAAATTAAAAAATTGGTTTAAAGCCAAGTATTATATAGTAATACATAATATAATGAAAAAATCATTCTATTCTATTATATTCTAACTCTACGTAGTATTCTATGAAGTATGCATATGTTTAGTCCTACTACTATAATGATAGGTCTGTTTTCATTAGGCGTCAAGACCATTTTGCCGGATTAAATATTTAAAATTTCGTTGGTTAGTCCTACTGCAAATAATTATTGTGAATTCACACGTTGTACAAGTGAAGACCTCTGATGATGATTGAAATATAAAATAAAAATATTTCACGGCAAATTATTTATTTAACATGATAATTTTACAATAAAATATAACATAAAACTTTAATTTTATAGTGTTATAATCCTTATTCGACTTTACTTAAGTGTAATTAGTCAGGCCTGAAGTTATGAAATCGTATATTGCTATGTAAATGATGATACACACACACACACACAATTATGGAGGTATATATATATATATATATATATATATATATATATATATATATATATATATATATATATATATATATATACCTCCACACGTTTTAATTTTACTTATTTTTGTTTTCAGAAATCATGGTGTTGACGCTATATAAACTGGATGCAAGTCCACCAGTACGATCGATCTGTGTTAATGTTTATTCACGCAGCAAATATTCCCGATGTTAAATTTGTGGACATCAATTTTTTTGCAGGCGACCATCTAAAAGAAGAGTATCTGAAAGTATGTTTATAAAATTTTATTATAATACATATTTAGATTATATATATATATATATATATATATATATATATATATAACAATATGTAACGTAATTAACGCACTTTGATAAAGTAGTTTCCTCAGAATCGTTTACTGATTCGATTCCTATCATTTTTAATATATGTAATTTTTTATCCCAAAAATAATTAAAACTACGTAAATTACAGTCACACTAAATCTGTACAGTCAAAAAAACTGAAATGGATCGTAACTTAAAGTTAACTTAAGGCAATAAAACTTTTACGGGTGCAGATTTATTTGTGTTATTACTAATTCTCTCATTCAATAAAAATAAAGAAAAATGAACTTTATTTCAATGCATGCTAAAGTCTTCGCGTTCGTGGATTTGTACTGTGACCACAACATTCTTCCGGAATTAGTATAACTAATTTGATAAATAATCAGTACATAAAAATGTTTAACTAAAAATTTAGTGTATGTATTATGATTATAACATAATATACTAATTGGGGTGTCTGAGGGTGTGAGTTTATTACGTTACATATTGTATAGGCCTAAACATAGGCCTCCCTCAAGGAATGCCACAAAGCACGGTTCTGAGCCACCTGTATCCATCGACTTCCAACATCAAGTTTAGTTGGGTAAAATAATATATAAAACATATCGAAAAACTGTTTCAATGTTTGCGTGCTTCAGTGGGCTTGCAATTCGAACACCTAAATTTGAGTACATTAATTTTAATTAAAATGTTACATAAATAAAATTACAATTTGAAGAAGTAAAAAACGACATTCAATGGTTTACGCCTGAGTAAGCGCAGCGATGGTATTCTGTCAGAGCCACTTATGGTGAATTAAGAACCATCGCTGGTCGTAATAACATTGTTTTTAATAAAATCTCAATGGTCGTCATAATCGTCAACATTACAGTCCTTCACAAGTCCATTCCTGAACATAGGCCTCCCCAAAGGATTGCTACAAAGCACGGAGCTGAGCCATCGACTTCCTGCATGTCTTTGTCCTTCCTGCATTGTCACTCCATCAAGTGGGGGAGGGGTAAAAATTAAGCACGCTACAAGTAAATTCTTAGATTAGACAAATAACTTTCAAATATTCTATATAATTTAATTTTATGTTGCTATTTCCTACAGTGTCCTTGATATATTTGTGTGCCTTCGTTTTATGTATAATGAAATTGTTGCAGTGCCGAACAGAGCCCATTAATTGTGTTTCAACATAATTGATGGAATGCATTAAAGCTTTAAGTATTGACTATTGCGCAATTGAATATTCATGAAATTACTAACTATAGAACTAGCGCGCCAAGGTGTTGCGAAGATAGTGAATAGTGACAACAATATATCAGCAATATAAACTGGATGCAATTTTTATTCTATTATTCTATTATATAGAAATTCTATTATTTATCTTACTTTAAATATTTTTTCAAGTTTTTAATAAATTTATTTATTATGGAAGACAATATTTTGCCTTTAATTTACTATGTTATTGGTCTAATGTCTGAAATGTATTTGTATTAACTTTATGGTTATTAATGTAATTTTATTGTTTAATATACATCTTTTAAGACTATTTTTGACGCCCCTTTATATTGAATTTAATTATTAATAATAATATTGGGCCGTCACAGTATCATCTGTATGCTGATGACTTGCAGTTGTACTCACACTCGAAGGTCAACTGTATAACTACAGCAATTGAGTCTCTTAATAGGGACCTAGAGTATATAAAGAACTAGTCTGACAAGTTTAGCCTTAAAGTTAACCCGTCCAAATGTCAGTCTATTTTAATAGGTAGCCAACGGATGATAAAGAAAATGGATCCCACAGCTTTACCGCCGATCATTTTTAACGGTTTTATTTTAGAACTGAGTAATACCGTGAAATATCTTGGATTACACACTGACTGCACCTTGAGCTGGCAAACTCAAGTGGCAAATGTTTGTCAGAAAATCACAGGTATTTTGCGTTCTCTCTACTGCCTGAAGAATTTTCTCCCGTCCAGGGTCAAGACGATTATTGTGCAGACCTTAATTTTTCCCATTTTTGACTATAGTGATGTGTGTTATTTTAGCCTGAATGCAGAACTCTTGAACAAATATGCCCGTCTTCTTAATAACTGTATTCGATTCATTTTTAATCTTCGAAAGTATGATCATGTGTCTACTTATCGCTCTCAACTTAACTGGTTACCCATTCGTCAGCACCGTTGTCTACGTGCACTCACTACTCTTTACTCTATCTATCTTGACTCTCCTAATCCTCCATCTAATTTAACTCCTAATTTTTAATATTTTAGCTCCAACCATGATAGAGTTCTCCGTTCTAGTAACAACCTTTTGCTTCAATGGCACCCTTTTAGTACTAACTTTGTCCAATCATGGTTATTTGTCCAATATGTTCTCTTGTTCAAGTCCAAAGTGCGAGAACTGCTCGTCAATAAAATGGCAGAATCAACATAGCGTTCGTAGTTAGCCGTTTTTAATAATATTATATTTAAATATACATATGTATATAAATATATTTAATTTTATGTATATATACTTACATAATGTTAATTGAAGTTTGCCTGAGCCGCCAGGAGGCAGTTCAGGTCGTTTGTCAGTTTATTAGGCGGGTCCGAGTGAGAGTTTCTCGGCCTGTAGACTCGATAGCGAGAGGGGGTGGGGCTGCATAAGTAGCTGCCTCACGAATAAAATGATTGGAGTGCGACTCTGAGGCTTTGAAGAAGTTCTCAGAGAGTTTTTTAAGAAATTGTTTGATTGTAAGGGGGTCTACGTCCCGATGAAGGTCAGCATTACGGACGTACCAAGATGCGTTCGCAGCTCGACGACAGAAAAAGTTTCGAACTATTTGGAGTTCATTAATAGTTTTAGGGTCGGCGTGGGCAAAAATGGGGCCCGCGTAGGACATGACTGGTCGCATACAGACCTTATAAAGGGTACGCTTGTTTCTGAGGGACATTTTACTGTGTCTGCCCAACATACTGTTGAGCCTACTCAGGTAAAAACTTGCGTGATGGGTTACTCTTTTGACGTGGGGCCTGAAAGTGAGCCTTGTGTCTAGAGTGACACCTAAATATTTGGCAGTCGTATGCCAGGGGACAGGGGTCCCTAGCATACGTATCGGTGGAGTGTTTTTGGGACGGCGTCGTTTATAATCGCAGTGAACGGCGGAGCTCTTCTCCGGGTTCACATCGATGCGCCATTTTTTGAACCAAGCTCCTAGGTCGTCAACTGACTTTTGAACCTTGTTCCGTATGAAAGGTAGCGAGGTACCTTTACAGTAGATAGCAGTGTCGTCTGCGAAGAGGCAGAGCTGAACACCTTTCGACGGGATGGGAATGTCTTTGGTGAACAGGATGTACAGCAGAGGATCAAGTACTGAGCCCTGAGGGACACCAGCCTTGATAGGACGCTGTGAAGATAGCGTGCCTTCGTGTCTAAAACGATAGGTACGATGCTTTAGATAAGAGACCACGAGACCTACTAGACGATCGGGGAGACCTATTTTGTATAGCTTGTAGATAAGGCCCGTATGCCAGATTCTATCAAAGGCTTTAGCTATGTCGAAAAAGACCGCGATGGTCTTATGACGACGAGGATAAAAACCGCTGAGGATATATTCCACAATAAGGTGAACTTGTTGGGGACATGAGTGTTTCGCTCGGAAACCGAATTGATGTGGAATGATAAGAGGGTCACCGTCTGTGGGACACAGATGGCGCCTCATGCGAGTTTGGATGGCTGTTTCGAAAAGCTTGCCCATGGCCTTGAGGAGGCTAA